CACACACACACTCACAATCAATCAATCAATCAATCAATCAAACCCCTTTTTTAAAGTTTTTTCTTTATTTATTTTCAAATTTTGCATCTGCATTTTTTTTAAACACCTCATACCCCTGCAAAAAACAGAAATTCATTTCTAAAAAAATACAGGTGAACTCAGGGACCATATATCTCATGATAAAAAAAAACCAAAAAAAAATCCAGCTTTTCTTTATATTCTTTTTTTTTTTATTTTCTTTAAATCAAATTTAGTTTTTGATTTTTGAAAAATCCTAAACAAAGTCTGATTCCAAAAAAAATATATAGGGTTGTAGGGCTTAAAATTCCCTACAACCCCATATATATATATATATAACCTATTATTTAATTCAGAAAAATTCCGGTAAAATCGGGCGTGGCCCCGTCTGCGTCCGCCATTTGAGATGGGACCGCGAACGCGTCTGCGGGTGTTTCATAGCCCTGCTGGGATCCCTTGTAGGCTGCCAGCCGATCCCTGATCCAACCAACCTTGTCTTTTCTTGACTTGAAAGCCGCGTCCTCGTGAAAGGCCCAATTGCTGGCATATCGAAAATACATCTCATCCCTTGGTCGTCGCTTATCCTTCGGGAGTGCTTTCACCATGATGGATTTACCCCCCTGGTGTAGAATCCTGTTCCCGGATGGGGCAAGGAGGCGGGCCAGGAAAAAAACCCCTGCTGTTGTCAGGTTGCCTAACGGGATTTTCCATTCCTCCTCTCCTCTTCCTTCCCCTCCTTCCCCACTCTCTTCCCCTTCTTTCTTCCGTCTAATCGAAATTGAATCCTTTAAGAACGGTCTTCCCATCTTCTCTGCCCATGTTCCTGACTTGGTTGTATTGTTGGAGGAACTCGCTTGATCCCCTCCTCCTGTACTTCCCTCACCCGGGATGATGGATCTCCTCCTCTCCACTCCTGTCTGTCCTTCTCCTTGTCCACTTCCCTTCCCGACCACCCCTTGTAGGTTGATGTCCCTACCGAGCAGTCTATTGCTCTTG